AACTTTTTTAATAATACTCTTCAGTATGACGTCACTCACAGCAACGAAAATTATTACTATCCTTTCCACTTTTGACTTTGACTTTACTCTTCTCCTTTCAACATTAAGGAAAAAAAAAAGATAGCGATAGCGATTAGTGACAAATAGGTAGGTATGTAAACAATACCTAGCTCCTGCCGCAATCGTCAACTTCATGTCATGATGTCTGTCATATAGCGATTTAATTTGTACCTGTTGTTGTTTTTTTTTATTTCCTAAATGTTAAAAGGAGAAGAGTATAAGTATAGGTAGTCAAAGTCAAAAGTGAAAAGGATAGTTCTAACTTTCCGTGCTGTGAGCATACTGGTGACGTCATACTGAAGAGTATCAAATTAAAAAAGTTTTTAATTGATATCTTGAAAACTGTTGGGCATTGAACATTAGCGCAATGATCACTTTTGTTAAGGACGACTCCCTATACACAATATCAAAAATTCAGCAAAATTCCACATAGATCACTTTTCCATAAGAAATGTGCGGGGTCCTTTCTGCTTGCCCTCGGCAAGCAGCTCGCCCAAATTTTAAGTGCACTTCGAAGTGAACTTCAAATTTATTTCGATGTAAATGGATCTGTGCTGTCGCCATATGCCAAGCGCGTCAATTTCAAGACAAATTGGACTTCGAAGTGAATGTAAATGCACCATATCATAGGATCGCTAAAGCTGGTTCAGAAACGGTTCCGAAACGATTCTGGTTGATCCGCAAATCCAGAACCGTAACTAAAAGTTCGGAATTTTGTGATCCGCAAACGCCATTGATTGAACTGCGCATGCGAAATAATTTCGAACTCAGAATCCTTACCGCGAACGAAGCTATTGTAAAAGTAAAAGCTGTTTACGGAACCTATGATCGGGTTAACCCGATCTCCGGCAGAAGTATTTTGTCTTTTTTCAATCGTATTCATTAAGGAAAGATAGAAAACATACAGCTGCTGATTGGGTCAACCCGATTATCGTTTCCATAAACGGCTAAATTAAAAAGAGTCAAAAGAGATAATGCATGCAGCATGCAGAGGGCGTCCACGTCGCCCACAGTGCTCTTGCTTAATTTGGTCGGATCAAAGCTCGAGTCGAAGCTAATCTCTGGCTAACGAATGTTGGGCGCTACGTCATCAATACTTGAACCTATCACAGACATTGCAATTTGCCTTTTGCACTCGCACCGTGTTTGACATATATTCATGTGGCATGTGGCTATATTCAGCTGGTGTAGGCACCGTGGTGGAATGGTAGAACAAGCAGTGTTGTTAAATTAAACAGGGTTTGACAAGCTGTGGTTTGGCATTGGCATTAATGAATTTGAATCACCGCATCCGTGCCGGTGCACCATTTTGGTGAATTTAGCAACACGCGAATTGTTGATGGTTGACAAAGAGAGATGTAACACAAGTAAAATAAATTTCCGTGCTACGACAAATGAGGGCGAATCCCCACGGGCGTAATTCGCGCAATCGGCATGAACGTCAATTTTACGCCAATTTTGGCGTAACATCCCGCATGGGCCGCATTTACAAAACCAAAATACAAACAATTTTCTAACCTTCTAAAATGTCTTGTTTATTTATTGCCAGGTTTGTAAATTAAATTTACCAATTTGTTATTGTAGTTTTTCCTCTGGTTTTCTGTGATTGTTCTTAGGACAGTAATCAGTAATATAGTAACAAAATAAAATACAGATGAGGAGTAAATAAATGATGAGGAGTAAAAGTTTGTAAGGTATCAAAAGAGTAAGGAGTTGTGTTAGTTAAACATGTTAGTTAAACTGTCCTTTCAGTTCTGTTCTAACAGCAACTTGCTAAGGCGCCTCAAGGAACTTTACGAAATATACGTGGTAATAGAAAAATATGAAGAAAAAATGCAATTAATGCAACGAAGATTTTGGGTACGACCTATATTTTCAGAAATTCAGACATTCTTGCAGGGTGCTAGTGATAACTTGAGCCACTTTCGGGTGCAGAGTGCGAAGCTCTTAGACTAGAACACTTCACACCTGTCATACTCCATATCTCTGGTCATACTCCATACTCCATCATGCGTTTTGAACTGGAACGCTTGAAACCGAACTGTTCAAACTGTATTAAACTGTAACCGGAGTACTTCGGACTAACTCGGGAACGCTCAAAGTGAGTCACCCGAAAGCAGCTTTGGTTACAAAGACAAACATCACAACTCCGCCACGATGACGTCGAAAAGTTCAACAAAATCCAACTTTTTGCCGTAGCGGCAAATGTCAAAAATTCAAGATGGCTGCACTGCTGCCAACGAAATCGCGAAAATTAAATCACGTGATTAGTTACGCTTACGTCAATTACGCCCGTGAGGATTCACCCTGACACGTAAAACCGTTGCATTTTTTTGGATTGTAAAATATGGATGGATTAAACTAGGCGCCTTCGGCGCCCCGATACTCCGTCGCCCTAGGCGGGCGCCTAGTTCGCCACCCCCTAGTTGCGGCCCTGTACCTACCACAACTAAACATACCACAAAAACAAGCTCTACAACAAAACATCACTTTTACAGAGTCGTAGAACAAAATTTGAAGTCATACCAGGCATGGAAATACAAATCCCTCCACAATCCCAGTAGCCAATCAGTGCGAACTGAGTGAAAAAAGTTGCACTGATTCTGCAAATTGAAATCGCTATAATATTTAAAATGCTTTCATCTTGGCGCTATCTATAATTTTTTTTTAGAACTAAAATATAATTTGAAGGGGGGGGGGCGTTGCGGTCTTAAGAGTTCAGTTGTTGAAAACATAGAAAGAAGTGTAAAGGACGAAGACATCATATTACAACATTTTAAAATATATCAAAACCATTCCTCCAAAATTAAATATACCATTATGCAACAGGTTTCTCTGGTAGTTTTTCAACAATCTCGTTAGGAATAATTTATTTTGTTTTAAAACACCATTCTGATTTTGTGGTTACGAAATGAGTGACAATGACAACTGAAAATAAGGTTAAAGCCGCCCAAGAGTGCGGGAGATTCAAATTTTTCCCAAAACCAGAAAGCCGAAGGATCCAGAAGATTGAACAGTCCTGCAGATGACGAGCTGACCCTTTTTCATGTAGAATACCCTGTTATCATCATGGAGTGGAGTTAGTTTTCTATTTGGGTTCAGTTTAAGACAGTGAATGTTTGAAAATAATGGAAAAGACAAATTGTATTTTAAAAGTAGGTTAGAAACAAATAATAAAGGAAATAAACTATGAACTTATTCTCTCTTTCCTTTGTTGATCAACTTTAAGAACTCGTCTGTGTAGAGTGTAGAGGGATGTAAGCTCTATTAAGATTTACTTGTGTGTATTGAGGCAAGATAAATTGTCATTGTCTTCCATAAAATCCAAGCGATCAAAGTTTTTTGACCGAATGTCATGAAGAATCTTTGAATTAAATCTAGGGCTGAAGTTATGTTTGGTTGTCCTTAAGTGTTCACCAAAGGCCGAAGAAGTTTTAGTGAGATGTTCTTGTATGCGTGTTTTCAAAGATCTGCAAGTACGGCCGATGTAAGTGCAATTACAAGAACTACAATTTGATTTGTAAATCCCACTATTGGACAGGTGGTCTATTTTGTCTTTGGAATCAACAAGATGTGAAGACAGATTATTTGTGGTCTTGCAAGATATGATATTCTGATGTTCTGGACACTATCGTGAAGTACTTGTTGGATTTTCAAGTTTAAATCATAAGTTAAAAAAGGAAGAGAAATGTATCTGCTTATGGCTTGAATGAGGGTAGGAAATAATTATTTTTTCAATCTTTTGTATTTTGTTTTGGTTATAAGGGTGTCAATCATTTTGGGGTCATATTCGTTGTTACGAGTTATTTGTTTGAAAATTTTGCCTATATAGTCTTCCTTTGAAAGGGGGATGTTGAGCAGTCTATTAATTTAACAATGAAAAGCTGCCAGCTTGTGTTGTCGAGGGTGGTTACAGCTTTCGGGGATGGTGTGGTCTGTCTGTGTGGGTTTTCTGTAGATTGCGAAATTCAGTTGATTTAATTGATTCTTCAAGATAGAGATGTCCAGAAAGTTGATTTTGTCATTGCTTTCAATTTCCAAAGTGAAAGAGATTTTTGGATGTATGCCAAAAAAGGTGACAAGCAACTTCCCATGACAAGCCCATCAGGTTGTTGATAGAAAGTGCTGTTGCATGTGAAATAGTTTTGAGAAAGGCAGTGATTTGGAAGAGATAGCACGTTGACAACGGTTGTTCCGGATATATTCTTTGATCTTAGCATGTCTCTAACGATATTGACAGCTTTAGCCATCGGGACAGTTGTGAAAAGGTTGGTGACATCAAAGGATACAACCAAAAAGTTATTGGGCAGATTAATGCTGTTTAATTAGTTAATTAAAGTCAATTGAGTTGCTTACCTCAAATTTTGGTGTGAAGGATGACAGATTTTTTATCAAGTTAGGTGTGAAAGAAGAAAGAATGGAAACTGCAGTATTGGTGAAACTTACCACAGATCTTATAGGAGTGTCAATTTTGTGGATTTTTGGTAGTCCGTACAATCTCGGCAAACTTGGATTGCTGGAAATTAGAGTTTTTGGAGCATTGTGATTTGTTGAAAAAATTCGCAAAAGTGCTTTATGAGTTATGTGTATATGACTTTTAAGAACACTAAAACGTTATTCAGCGGCTTTAGCATACAAATAGCTATTCACATTCCAAGCCGAGGCTAAGCAAAGCGCAGCCGAGGCTATTTGAATACCTCCGAGGCCCGAGCACCTTAAAGGGCTTTTGCAGCGTGTAATGTATTGAACTTTTCATTCTTCCCCCTCAAAAATATATTATTTTATCTTGAATAGGCAACCGAAAGTGAAAGTAACTACTAGCATGTTTTACTTTCGCTTTTCGTTTACCTATTCAAAATAAAAAAAACTATATTTTTGAGGGGAAAGAATGAAATAACTATTTTATATTTGATTTTCTATTGAACTTTATAATTTTTCAGAGGAAAAGGAGTACGATTTTATTATTGTTGGAGCCGGAACGGCTGGTGGAGTGTTGGCAAATAGATTAACAGAAGAAGAAGATTTTACAGTTCTGGCATTAGAAGCTGGAGACGAACCACCTCAATTGTCGGATATGTTAGCTGTCAGTATTTACTTGCATCGTACTCCCTATAATTGGGGCTATAACACGACTGCGCAAAAAAACATGTGTTTAGGTAAGATTTTTTATTTTTAGCCGACTATTTTTTTCTGGGAATTATTCTGAGGTTACAGAAACTAGCATATCAAGATAACCATAGACAAAATAACCCATACTTTTAGGTTCACGAGACAATAAATGCGCATATCCCAGAGGAAAAATGTTAGGCGGTAGCAGTTCAATTAACTTTGGAATGTACGTTAGAGGTCACAGGCAAAATTTCGACCATTGGGCATCTTTAGGTAATCCTGGTTGGTCATATGCTGACGTTTTGCCCTATTTCAAAAAAGCAGAACATGCGACTTTTGATAATGCGGATCGTGATTATCATGGTTTCGATGGACCTCAGAAGATTAGTGTACCTGAAGATACACCATTGTTGGTAAGAAATAGGTATGTTATGGTAATGATTTTTGGCTGATATCGCTGTTTATTTTAGACTGAGGCCCTAATGAAGGCTCACATAGAACTTGGCAAAAATGAAACAGACTATAACGGAAAAGAACAAGACGGTGTAGCTAGATTGCAATTTTTTTTGGATAAAAATATACGCGCAAGTTCAAACCATGCTTTTATTAAACCAGTAAAAAATCGTCGAAATCTTGAAATTAGCGTTAACTCTTACGTTACCAAAATTCTTATAAATGGTAACACGGCTTTTGGTGTTCAATATTTAAAGAACGGCAAAGAATGCACTGCGAAGGCAAGTAAAGAGGTGATTTTATCAGCCGGTGCAATTAACTCACCTCAGCTTTTAATGTTATCTGGAATTGGACCAAAAGAAGAACTGGCGAAACATGGCATAGAACTTATAGCAGATTTGCCCGTTGGAAAATATTTACAAGACCACCAATTTTTTCCAGGAATATTTTATAGGTAGGTATCTTTCAATTTTTTTACAAAAGCACTTCAGTAAATTTATTTTGTTGCAGACCCAAACGCGAATTTTATCACAATTCAATCCTAGAAAATGTAAAATTATGGACAGAGAACAAACGACCACTTACTCCCAGCATGGGTCAACAAATAGTAAGTTTCTGGAATTTCCTTGGCCTTGAAGGAACTGTACCAGAAATCGAACTTTTCTTTTTTGGACCACCGTTAATAAGTTACCACCTTGCAGCAATTTTAGGGTGAGCCTTTACGGCTTAAAAAAAAAAACTAGTTTGCATTTTTCTGTGATTTTAGATACACAGATGAGTATATTGAGAGCTTCAAAACCTTAAACCCATACAGTGACATAAATGTCAACATAGAACTTCTTCACCCGTTATCCGAAGGGAGTGTAACCCTTAACTCAAGAGACCCTAGAGATTTCCCGCTTATTGACCCCAACTACTTTTCAGATCCAAAAGGTGTTGATCTTGAGCTTATGTATGAAGGAGTTAAGGTGGCTTTGAAACTGAACGAAACCGAAGCTTTTAAGAGCCTAGGGCTAGAGCTGATAAGTATTCCATATCCTACTTGCGATTCGAAATTCGAAAAAATGTCCAAACCATGGTGGTTTTGCGCTTTGAAAACCTTATCTTCCACGGTAAGAACAATTTTTGAAATATTGTTTAAGTTTATTTATTAAATAATATTTTTTAGCTTTTCCATCCGATAAGTACAACAAGAATGGGTCCTAATCCTGAAACTTCAGTTGTAAATTCAAAACTAAAGGTACACGGAATCCAGAATTTAAGAGTAGTGGATGCTGGAGTGATGCCGGATCATATTTCCGGGCACCCGAATGCAGCAACTGTTATGATTGCAGAAAAAATATCTGACGAAATTAAAGTTGAACATTTGGGGCCACCAAGAAGATAATGAAATACATATCTATAAATAAATGAGTACATAGATAAGTAGATTAAACCATACCCAGCATAATGACCGACCTGAGTCCATGCACGGTGGTTTTGAAGTTGTTATTGCACTTTTTTAGGTTGTCTTCGCTGGTGACTTGGTAAAAGGTTTTGGTTGTTCATCCAGGGTTGATAAATAATTAAAATCAGTTTTCTCAAGCTATTTGTTTTTTTTTTTCCACAGGTCCCTTATAGTAGGGGAGCCCACGATGCTAAATTTGGATTTACTTGAGCGTCGTGGGGACCTAATGGATTTTGAAGATTAGATGATAGTAAAAAAAAAGGTTATATAATGTGTAACCTTTCATTGGTGGGGGGTGCGTCTATAGGTTTCCAAGAGTGTAAAAAAAATCATGACATGGACATAATCGAGCGTGTCAGATATTGATAGTTTAGATGCGCCACGTGTCTTTGATGACAGGTATGTTAATCTTACGGTTTGCATAGTAGGGGTGGCGATCCGGATTCCGGAAGAGTTGAAAATTAGAAAAAAATAATAATTTATTCGAGCGCGTCAGATTTTCAAGGAATATGATGGTCCTAAAAAATAGCTCCCATTAAAAAAACTGACCATTCGGAAGTGACGCAAGCTCGTAGCGGCTTATTCAAAACAAAAAAAAAAAACGCTATATTGAAATACTCAAGCGCGTCAGATTTTTATACAGCCGGTTCAGCTTGACGTTCTAGTCGTGCCCCAAAATCTGACGATTTATGTGAAGGAATTTGCTTTATCTAACGGTTTTTTTATTTTCCGAGAAAACGGCTGGACAAATTTGGATGAAATTTAACATAATATGTTAAATTTCATGTACATATATTAGGGATAGTGTAGTGAAAAATAACGGCGCAGAATCCCAAGAAAAATGATAATCACCTGGTAAAATATTTAACAATCATAAATAACTAGTTGTAATTCTTGGGAATACATGGGATTTATTGATCATTGATTGTAGTAAAATTCAACTTTGAGACTCAATTGATCAAAAAGTATTTGAGCTACCAAATTCAATTTAGCACAGAATTATAGAAAATTTAATGCTCTTTCCGATGATATACGCGATATGTTTCAATTTTCAAATTTCAATGGAGATATAGGCAATTGTTCATGAACATGTCAGGATTTTTTTTTTTAAATTTAGATCCAAAAAATCTTTCTTCAAAATTGTCATTTTGAAATGATGTTAGATTTTTTTTCGACTAATTTAGACCCGCTCTATCGATTGGGAAAAAATTACGAAAATCTGAAAAATGAAAATTTTGAATTTTTAAATTTGTTTCAAAGGATTTGGATTTTTATTTTAAAATTTTCAAATTTAATTTTTTCGGAACCCAGATTTTGGATCAATTTTTTTTTTTTGAAATTGTAGCTCCTAATAAGGGCTTCAAAATGGTACCTATTGTTGAAATATGTATCCGAAAGGATAATATAATATACAAAAACAAATCTACCTTACCAGGAATCGACCTGAGAATTGACAAAGAGCAATAAACCCAAAAGGTTGGTATTTATTGCCTTATTTATTTATTGTACTTGGGTATTACTTTTTGCGTTGTAAAATGTATTTTTCCCACACCCCGAAAAGGTTTAGGGTGTGAAGATGAAATATAAAAGCTAAAGTTAAGTTAGTCGTTCTGTTATGTTTTAAGACGAAACATTGAAATATATTATCGTGCCTTGAAACGTATCTATCGTGTTTTAATTAAACCACTGATAACCTGAAATATTTAATAGGTTATGGTCCCCAGTTTCGCGTAACACCAATATTGTTACTCAGTGGTGAATAAACGCAATTAATAGACTTTCGAAAACATGGAAAATCGCGGCGCGAGCAAAAGAAACATCCAACCTTTTAATGGTGACCGGTACGGTGTTTGGAAGTTTCGAGTAAAATCATTGCTAACGGAATTAAACATTATCCAGGTGGTTGACAGTGAAATTCCCAGTGATCGTAGTGATGAGTGGCTCAAAAACAATAACATTGCAAAAAGTGTGATCATTGATAACTTGAGCGACTCATTTTTGGGTTTCGCTAAAGGACCAACTACAGCGAGAGAGGTATTTCAGAAGTTAGATGAAATATATGAGCGGAAGAGTTTGGCCTCACAGTTGGCATTAAGAAAGAGACTTCTGACTTTGAAACTACACGGAGATATTAGTTTGTTACAGCATTTCACAAACTTCGATGATATCGTCACCGAATTAATAGCCGCTGGAGCCAAAATTGATGAAATGGACAAAGTTTCACACCTTTTGTTAACTCTACCGTCATGCTATGACGGAGTTATCACAGCTTTGGAAACATTGAGCGAGAATAATCTCAACTTATCCTTTGTCAAAACCAGGCTGCTCGATCATGAGGTTAAATTAAAAAATGATCGGACGACCACCAGTCTAAAAGTGCTCAATGTTGGAACATATTTACCGGCGGCAGATGGTAAAGGTAAAATGCAATTTAAAAAGAAAAAGCATTTCAGGAAACCATCCTACCAACATCAAAACAAAGCGAGCCATCATTTTTCTCAGTATAAAACCACCAATATTCAGTGCGACTACTGTGGTAGATGCAACCATATCAAGAAAAACTGCCGATTTTACAAAAGGAATTCTGATGAAAAACAGAGAACTTTGCAAACAGTTCACGGAATCCCATCATCAAATAATACTTCTGATGGCTTCGCTTTTATGATTGGACATAAACAAATTTCAGAGCAACAATCATACAAAACATTGACCTTCTTGTTAGACTCGGGTGCAACTGATCACATTGTAAATAGCCGGGATCCGTTTGCCAGTATCCAGAGACTAGACACGCCGATTCAACTCGCAGTGGCCAAGAATGAAACCACTGTTACTGCCTTTGAAAAAGGAACCATCAACGTCGAATCCAATCTTGGTGTTCCGGGAAAACTAGAGAATGTTTTATACATTCCCGATGCAGTTTACAACATTCTTTCAGTTCGCCGCATTCAAGCGTGTGGTATGACCGTTGTATTTGACCAAGATGGGGATAAAATTCTACACGGTAACAAACTTCTGGCAACAGGTAAGCCATTAAATGGTCTAACTGGAATTTCATTCAAAATAATAAGAAATTGCAGTTCTAAGATTGAGCCACGGATTAATGTGATTAACAATAAACACTACCAACTTTGGTATGAACGTTTAGGTCATGTCAGTAGCCAATCATTTTTAAAATTAAAGCAACATCAAATGGTAGAAGATGTTAACCACATTGACAATCTTAGTCCTGCAAACAATACCTGTGAGGCTTGCATATATGGTAAACAAACAAGATTGCCTTTCTCTAAAGCTAAATCCAAAAATCATGTTCAACGACCTTTGTTTATAATTCATTCGGATGTTTGTGGACCCATATCACCCATTACTATCGATGATAAAAATTATTTTGTCACTTTTATTGACGAATTTACTCACTACACAGTTACTTACCTGATAAAATATAAATCAGAGGTTCTTTCCGTCTTTAAAGATTTTATTGCTAAAGGCGAAGCTCATTTTAACTGTAAGGTAGTGTACCTGTATTCCGATAATGGGAGTGAATATTTGTCCAATGAATTTAAAGAATTTTGTGTTCAAAAGGGCATTACTTTTGATTTAACAGTTCCACACACCCCACAACAAAATGGTGTTGCAGAACGCATGAACCGTACACTTACTGAAAAAGCACGTACGATGATAATTACCTCTGGCTTAGATAAATCTTTTTGGGGTGAAGCTGTACTTACAGCCACTTATTTAATTAATATCTTGCCAACTTCTGCTCTGCAAATAAATAAGACGCCATACGAAATGTGGCATAATAAAAAGCCACAATTAGAATTGCTAAAAGTATTTGGATCTACCGTTTACATACATAATAAAACGAGAAAAACTAAATTTGATGACAAATCTTTTAAAGGCATTTTTGTGGGGTATAATCCTAATGGGTACAAAGTGTGGAATGTTAATACGAAAAGTTTTCTGACGGCTCGCGATGTAATCATTGACGAGACCAATTTTAAAATTACAAGGCCAACAATAGTTGAGAATACCTTATTGCCCAATACGAACCATAAAAATTCTGAATGTTCAGATGTTCATTTTGAACAAGGCGAATCGTCTAAAAGCGTCTCACATTTTCCCGAAAATAACGTAAATTTAAGGAGGAGTGAAAGAGTTAAAAATCATCCTACTCCCACTTATAAAGAAGATCTCGATGATAATATTAACAATGACATATACAGTCATTTGCTCTATGCAAAGTCCCTTTCCAATGCAATACCAAATTCATTTGATGAAATAAAGGCAAGGGATGACCGAGATCAGTGGGAGCTAGCTATAAAGGATGAAATTGACTCCCTCCTTTTAAATAAAACATGGTCAATAGTCGATAAACCCACAAATAAAAACATAGTAGGTTGCAAGTGGGTATTTACTACAAAAATCGATGAACATGGTAATCCAATAAGATATAAGGCAAGACTGGTAGCAAAGGGATTTAGTCAACAATATTTAAGTGATTATAATGAAACCTTTGCGCCAGTTGCACGAATATCTAAATACCTTTAGATTTCTATTGGCATTTTCAAATCAGTAGATTTATTAGCCCATCAAATGGACGTAAAAACTGCATTTTTAAATGGCGTCCTAAAGGAAGAAATATTTATGCAACTTCCAGAGGGTATTAAAGCCGATGCCAATAAAGTATGCAAATTAAACAAGGCTCTTTATGGCTTAAAGCAATCCTCCAGGTGTTGGTATGAAAAATTTGATAAAACAATGAAAGAGCTCGGTTTTAAAAGTTCCTCAGTTGATCCTTGTTTGTACTTTCTTAACAAAGGTAATATTAATAAAAATTTATATGTTATACTTTATGTCGATGATTTAATAATCTCAACAAAAGATATGACTACAATGTCAAAATTTAAATCATATTTAATGAGTAATTTCCATATGAAAGATTTAAATGAAGTAAGGCTTTTCTTGGGAATAAGAGTACAGAGAAACAGAGATACAATTACTCTGGATCAGACGAATTATTTGAAATCTGTATTAAATAAATTTAATATGGCTGAATGTAAACCAGTTTCAACCCCACTAGAAAATAAATTAAATTATGTTGAATTAAATATTGATCAGCCTAATTCGAACCTACCATGTAGAAATCTAATAGGATGCTTAATGTATGCTATGCTGTGTACACGACCCGACTTATGTATAACTATAAGTATATTAAGTCGCTTCGATACATACAAGGATCAATTGATTTGAAATTAACTTTCAAACGTAAAAACTTTGACAATATGCTTGAAGGCTATGTGGATTCTGATTGGGCTAATAATGAGATTGACAGACGAAGTACGACCGGGTATTTATTTAGGGTCTTCGAAAATTGCACGATTTCTTGGAATTCGAAAAGGCAAGCTTCTGTTGCCGCTTCATCAACTGAAGCCGAATATATGGCTCTTTTTGAATGTGTGAGAGAGGCAATTTGGCTCAGAAGTTTATTAGATAGCCTTAATTTAAACATTTCAAAACCCATTTCAATTTTTGAAGATAATAGCGGTTGTATAAGCATCGCCAACAATCCTACGAACCACAAAAGAACCAAGCATATTGACATTAAGTATCATTTTACACGGGAACAGATCATACAAAATAAGATATCAGTTCAATATATTCCTACAGGTGAACAACTGGCTGACGCATTTACAAAACCATTACCAGCAGTTAAATTTGTCAATGTAAGGAATAGTATTGGACTAGAATGAGGTTGATTAAAATCGTTACCTTTCCAAGAACACTTTATTTATGTACATATATTTTTTGATAATTTAGTATTTTTTTTTGATTTTTATAATTAGATTAAAACCATATTTTGCTAATATTTAAAAAATGCATATTGTATACTTAATTTGTAATTAATATATTTATATTCGCAATTTTTGTATCATAAAATGGTTCAATTAACTTAAATGTACATATGATAGCTTTTAGGATTATCTATTATTATTATTATTTTTCGATCTTGTTTTTGAGTGGGAGTGTTGAAATATGTATCTGAAAGGATAATATAATATACAAAAACAAATCTACCTTACCAGGAATCGACCTGAGAATTGACAAAGAGCAATAAACCCAAAAGGTTGGTATTTATTGCCTTATTTATTTATTGTACTTGGGTATTACTTTTTGCGTTGTAAAATGTATTTTTCCCACACCCCGAAAAGGTTTAGGGTGTGAAGATGAAATATAAAAGCTAAAGTTAAGTTAGTCGTTCTGTTATGTTTTAAGACGAAACATTGAAATATATTATCGTGCCTTAAAACGTATCTATCGTGTTTTAATTAAACCACTGATAACCTGAAATATTTAATACCTATTCAGTTAAAGTCAGTTAGTTAAGTTAAATTTACTGTTTTTGAGAAAATCGAATTTGAAGTTTTTGACTAAATTTCGAGTAAAACAACTTTGAGGCTCAATTGTGCGAAAAGTATTTGAGTTATGAAACTCAATCTAGCACTGACTTATAGAGAATCCTCTTTCCAACCATATATAATTTATTTTGATTTGCTCAAAATTTAATGGAAGTATTGGCAATTGCTCCAAACCTTGTCAGAATTTAAAAAAAATTTAGATCTGAAAATTAAGATTTTCTTTTTGATTTTTTTTCCCTTTTGAAATCGAGATTTGGAAATGAAGTTAGAGTTTTTTTCGACTTATTTAGATCCGCTCTATCGACTAAAGAAGTCAAAATTCAAAAAATCTGAAAAATAAAAATTTCGATTGCAATTTTCACAAAACCCGTCAAAGATTTTTGATCAATTTTTCTTTTGAGATTGTAGCCCTTAATTGGGGCTTCAAAATGGTACTTAGATAAAGTCGATGGCATTTACGGTTTTTGAGAAAATCGAGTTTGAAGTTTTTGACCAAATTTCAACTAAAATTCAACTTTGAGGCTCAATTGCTCTAAAAGTATTTCAGTTAATCTAGCACTGATTTATAGAGAATTTGATGCTCTTTCCAACCATATATAATTTATTTTGATTTTCTCAAAATTTAATAGAAGTTTGGCAATTGCTCCTAACAGTGCCGGCCCGAGCCTACTTTTAGGATGGAGCGAGATCCGACTTTGGCGCCCCTTATTCAAATGTGAATCGTAGGTACTCGCATGAATTTTGCCAAAATCTATATGTCCCTATCTATCTTATCAATTGATCAGGGGCGGATGGGCCCACCGGGAAGCCGGGAGATTTCCCGGTGCGCCGGTCCTTCAGGCGCCGATTGGCGCCGCCGCGAGAGGTTCCAAAATAATTGAAAAAGCAAAAAAACCAAATTCAGGTATCTAATTTATTAACTTATTTGGCAGTTGACCACTTTGGAACTGCGGAAATAATGAGTATGGATGTTATAAGCGCCCATACCATTCCTAATGTTTCATGGCAAATTACAGTGCTTGCTGTGTTGCGTTTTGAGGTAGCGGGTCTTCAACAAAAAAAAGCAATCATAGATTGCTATGGTTATTTAAACGTATGTATTAGCAATATTTTTCGTTAATTTTGTCAATTAACTTCAATGTCAAAATGTCATGTCAAAAATCCTGACCAATAAAGAAACAATAATGCGACGTACGTTTTCGTAATCAAAGCACTCTTTGATTGTTTTGGTGATGGAGTAGAAAAAGACGGGCGACAAGAGAATCTTGTCTCCGTACACTGGCGCTCTGTTTCCACAGAAATCACAAACCAGTCAGAGCGAATTTCATTGATTGATTGATTGATTGATTGTCAGTACACTGGTTGTTGGCGATTTGGACAAATCAAAAACGCTTTGACTGGTTTGTGATTTCTGTGGAAACAGAGCTTATGTCTGCTCTCACAAAAATTACAAACCAGTCAGAGCGAATTTCATTAGTTGAAAATATGTAGTCAGAAAACTGGTTGTTGGCGATTTGCACCAATTGAAAACGCTGTGACTGGTTTGTAATTTCTGTAACTTGTGAGAACAGACCCTCGAGCGGCGCGGCTCCGATTATCAGCAAAAAGAGTAATTTTGTCGTCTTGTCTATATTTAACCCAACAGGAGGGTATGCGCAGAAGTCGATCACTCGTGCTTTTCAATTTTTTTTGCTGGACAGGCGCGGCGCCGTTTCAATCCACTTCCCGCGCCGGTCTGAGGGGCCCCATCCGCCCCTGCAATTGATATTTGAAAACATCCATGTTCATTGGTACCGTTGGTATCTACTCTTTTCTTTTTGAGACTGGATTCAAAGTAGAATGACAAGCAAATAATGAAAATTGTGTAAAAAATTTATTTATTTATTATACTTAATATTTACTTTTTAAAGAGATTAGTAGGTAATCACCACTTTAACAATAAGGTAGGGAAGCTCTCTTTTTTACCAACATTTGTTTCACATTCTTTGATAAGATCAATTAAACCTCAACTCAACTTTGGTAATAATTATCAATTAACACTTATAAACCTGAAAATCGAACAAATAAAATACAAAATTTTAGGTAAATCGCTATTTGCGCACTTTTGTACGGTATTTTGCTCAAAGAGCAGAGCGTGCTGAAGCGGAGCAGTAGTTACGTAACCCATTACCGCACAGAGCAGTTAAACGCTGTCTGTACCTATCAGAGCAAATGGTCAAAGCCACAGCCTCCTACCCAAACAACCAGTTTACGTTTTAAGTACGTACATAATACATCAACCTTCGACGTAACTTACATCTTATGTACGTACTCTGATATCCAATGTACATTCTATATACGTACATAGTACCTCCAAATGCCACCAGATAATACGTTTTATGTACGTACATTATTGAAGTATTTAGAACGTCATATGGACATACACAAGACGTACTTTTTAAATCCCATTTTACAGGCTCTAAAAATTGAAATTTCAAATTTTGCTTCAAGCTTGGATGATTGAAATAATGAATTAATGGTACATTAGTAGATTACATACTTTTATTCCAGGAAAATAGATAATTGAACAAGTAGGTAGGTAGGTACCTAAATAAAAAATCAACAATTATTCTTATTATATCACAATTCGAACTCTAAACAGAACTTGAGATGCCATCCTTATTGCAGGAATTAAACAAAACATAAACTCTAAATATTCTAAACAAAACATTATTAGACATAAAAAACCTAAAATTTATCGTTTCGATTTTATTCTATCGTTAGCCCTTCGTAGCCAGCCAGAAACCGCATCTTCCACCTCCTTCTTGTTTTTTGCCTTGCCCCCAGCCTCAGCAGCAGCTGATTATCTAAGCCGAAAATCTAAATGCCTTTCATTAAAATGCAAACCAAAATTTGTTTCTATACTAATTTCTTTTGATACAAATTTATGGCTACATTTTCAAAATTATCCTCACCAATTATTAGCTTTGAGACTTCCATTACACTGAAGTTCTTTTTATTTCTTCTGCCTAACCAACTATATTGGTTAGCTAGCTCATCTGTCATGACTTTCTTCAAACATCTAACACAGAAGTCATAGATGTTTCTCCCCCCTAATCTAGATAGCTCATTAACCTGAAATAATGATAAAACATATTAGATGCATCAATGTTCTAATGTTATCTAAGTAGGTAACTTGAAGCTTTTAAATTAAAATTGAAAAATGTGTCTGATTAAGCTGATGATATCAAACCAAGACGTTAAGGATTATTTCACTAGAAACTGTTTTAGTTCATTCATGGCCACTTTATAAAAACATTTAACATAACATCTAGCATTTAACATTCAAAAAAGTTCGACTTATGCAAAGTAATATACCTAGTGGTTTATAAAATTTTTATGAACCGTTACATTATATAGGTACTTTGTGTAAGGCGAAATTTATTAAATGTTAAATGTTTTTATAAACTCACCATTAATAACAGAACAAAAAAATTGGTAAAAATAATATTTCTTACCGCTTTCTCAAAAAAATTTGTATCCTTTAACGCATTATTCAATTCAGAGACGTGCAGAGACGCAGGGTTCTTCAAAATTGGCTCAATGGGAATATCATCAACGCGGCTCTTGATAAATGTAAGTTGTCTCAATATTTCTTTTATATAGTGAACTAAAAAAATATCAACATTATAATTGTTATTCCTAAACTATAAGTGAGTATTAAAATATTTCTGGTATTGAGAAAAAACTTTCTGCAGTAAGTTCTGAATTTCATTATTCAGATGTAATATGATTTCGGTACCTCAAATATTTTTCTTACCATGGACAGGACAACATGTACATTTTGGATCATTTGAATTATTACTTGCAATTGTCCTAGGTCGCACACTTGGTTGCACATGTTTAGGAGCAGAAGCGTTAACTGATTCATTTGCTTGTCCGTTATCGTGTCTCTCGAATCCCAATGAATCATTTAGATTAGAATTAGTGAGATCAACATTCTTACTAAGATTTTGGTTGTTGCCTAAAAATAATTTAAACATGAAATTTAGTTTACGAAAATATAAATACCTGAAAGTTCTTCAATAAATTAAGAGCATACCTTCTGATGAGGTTCCTGGCTCCAACAACTTTGCATTCTGTTTGTGACATGATAATTGTGAACTTAGTAAGTACCAATTTTTGTTTTACCATCTTAACTACAAATAAATCAGAAAAAAAAGTTAGAATGTAATAATCACGAAATTTATTATACAGTAGCTATTTTCGGGTTGGAAAAAAGGACGGTTCTAGAACGGTTTAAAACAATCGCACAGTTTATTATTGAAATTTGTGATAGCTGAGCTGTGATCATTTTGTTGATTGATAAACTGTGCGATAAAAGTCATTTATAAAAGTTTTTGTTTCTTGAAAAAATAATATTGAACTTGAAATAGCATGTACAGGGTAGTCAAAAAATAGAAAAATATACAGTGTGTTTCCTAAGTACGGTTCGTAACTTCAGGATTTGATTCCTTACAATATTTTAAGAAAAGAAGTTCCCACAGAAATGTGTCCGAAAATGCGTAGTTTCTGAGATACAGGGTGTCAAATTTTTAGAAAAAATCGTTTTTCCAACTCAAAAACTCCTCCAATTTTTCTTTCGAATTTGGCAGGTTTATTCGTGAAAACGAAAGGTATCTTTTGACTATAATATGACTTAGTTAATCTGAAAAAAAAATATCGAAAGTTTAAAAAAATAGTGACGTGCCATTTTTTTTCTACTTTTACCCAAAAACCCTGTATATATTTTTTTATTTTCTGACCACCCTGTACATGCTATTTCAAGTTACAATAGTTTAATGTTATTTTTACAAGAAGCAGAAACTTTTATAAGAAATAACTTTTTTTGTAAAATTGATAATAGAAAAGTTTCCCATATGCTGCGACTTAAGTGGACACACTGTATATGAACACACAGGTTTGATTTATCAAAGAGAAAGTTGTAGAAAAAGGATCGAGAAAAATTCACAATTATGGAAATTTTTTTGTTAATAAGAGGCTAGGGTAAGTATTAAACTATGTATTAAAGGATTCTGATACCTAAACCTGGTCAATGCCTTGAAGCATTTAATAAGATTACTATATGTATTGGAGTTTATTATCATCAACACAAATTAATACATACCATTTTTATCATTTGCTTTGAATGATTTCCCAGTAAATTTTGGGGGAGTCCTGATTTTCACTAGAACATCATCTTCTTCTGAGGAGTCACTTGAAATCCTGTTAATTTTTTTTCTTCTCACAGTCATCTCGACATCAGTGTTCAGATCACTGGTATCTTCGGCTTTTAAAACTGCCTTTCTGGTATTTTGATAGTCATCTACAAAATGAACCAAATCATAATTTTTATAACTCATTAGATAGATATATTATATAAATTTCATTATCAAACTGAATATACAAGGTACACACATTGAAAAATATATTACTGATGTATCACCTCAATAATTGTTTTGATGAAATATTCTAAGTATATGTGGAAAAAGAGTAATGAAAAAAACTAGGAAATAGTTATTTATGATATAAGTGTTAAAAGTGCATTTTTAAGGCACGCATGTGAAAGTTTGCAGAATGAGCGAAGCGAATTCTGCAATTCATATAAGTGCCTTAAAAATACTTTTAACACAAATATCATACAATATTTTTTCTACAAACGGCAATAAAAAGCAATAACCAGTAACAAATTTGATTTTTGAATGAATAATAAATTGGAATCATTTTTCCTACATAAAATTATTGAATTTGACATTTGTCAAAATGTCCAAACAGCCAGCACCCAAGAATCGTAAACTCTACAGGATTGCTCAATCCCATAAGACAAACGTTCATAAAAACATCGAATATGGCGGTATGCGAATGACGTCACGCAGTCCTTGATCGGTTTGTGTTTTTTATGACAGTGCACTATCCTTGCATTTTCAAACGTGAAAAATTGTTATTTTGAGGTTATTTCCTTTGAAAACTGTATTTTGTAATTAATTTATTGATTTTAAAATTAGCAGACTTCAAAAGCTTGTGTCCTTGAGGCTTGAGTGGTTGGCTAATTGCTAATTAGAAAGACGAGTTTGTTTGCTTTTGTTTATCAATTAGCCAAACATATTGCCAAAAAGTCAAAAAAACGAAGGGCTGGAGTCAAGCTGGCCCCCGGATTCGTTTCAGTGTTTTTTTTGTGTATGAAAATGAGCACAATTCGCATAAATACTGGCACAATTGAGCACAAAACGGGCACAATTGACTACAGTTGAGAAACAGTAGAAAACCAAATGTGGGGTGCCGAGCCGGTTTAATTTTTGCATTTCAATATCAAAATATAAGCGAAACGGGGTTGCAATAGTGTGCTTTATTTTTTACTGACCCTACCTAGGTACTTCTCAATTATTATTCATTAATTTAATAGGTACTAGAACGATTTAATATGGACATTCAAAGTGAGCTTATTTCACAAAGCCAAATAGTGATACCTAATTTAGATTCTCATAATCATATTCCAGAAAAACATTGCAAATTTCCCATATTTTCCATGCGTTTTCATAGTAAACGCGCCAGTAAAGGAATTTATTTACATATTTATTTATTCACTCTTCACAAACCCTAATTTTTATTAGTAATTACATGCAAAGGAAACTTACAACTAAGTAGATATTTAATTTATAAAAAAAAGCAAAACAAATGCTTGACTAGGAAATACTAACTAGCAATACACACAAATAAAAGAGCGATGTCCTGATACAACAAATCCAGTATTATAAAACCAGAAAATGCTTGGGGTTTTCGCGAGTATTTTCAGCCACGAGTCTTTTATGCTTATACACATTAAATGAAACTTTAAATTTACACTTATAACACTAGATAAATCCGAATTTACGATAAAATATTTGTCAGCACAAACTAAACATCATTCGTATCAGCGGCCATCTTGAAAATCCGGCATGCGCGTGACGTCACAGCAATTGTGAACAAATTTAGCCGATTGAGCAATCCTGTATTTGAAAGTTTTATCATTTTGTAAAGTTGATGATGGTAGCTTGATCACATAACATCGAATTTGAAATTTGAAGATCAATAGTTTTTGAAATAATGGATGAAATATTTTTAGGCGTATCTTGGAAATCACCCTGTATTTCATGAACTAAAAGGAATTTGGTAGCACTGTAACCGAGACTTAAATGAGCATGAAAAAAGGCATTTTTTTTCCAAGTTAACTGACCTTGTAGCTCTTGCCGTTTTGGATATAGCAATAGTGGTATCACTTAAAATATACATCCTTATTTACTAGCAGGTACTTACTTATTATAATTAACAAGAAAAATAAACAACAAAATGAACGAAATACAATCAAATAAAATATTATAAATACTTAAATAATTATAAAAAATAGCTTAAATAGAACATCGGCCCCCAACTCACATACTTATGACATTTTTTACATCATGTGTAGAAGAGGAAAAAATACAAACTTTCCTTGATAGTCAAGTTTGACAACTTTATATGCAAAACAGCTTAGCCTCCAGCTCTTGAGTGATGCATTATTATCTTTTTCAGCCAAATATATACCAACTTCCTCAGAATTTAAAGGCTTCTCAAAAAAACTGCCTATTTTTAAGACTTCTTCTCCAAAGAAAAAAATTTCATTTTCTGTTTTAGTAAAATTTTTAATACATACAATTGTTTTGTTTTTCAAACAGCAGTAATTATCAGGTTCAGAAATTTTTAAAACGCAATTTTCTAGCTCTATTTCTTTAAAATGAGTGAGAGAAATAGCTCGATTTTGAAATTCTAATAGTGGGCCCTCATAAAAATGTTCTCGTTTTAAGTTTGGAAAGCTACTAGCAATTTTATGTATGTTTTTGAATAAGTCTATCTCTGATTTTCTGTTAATCACTTGCAACAAAGGCTTTTCTTTTTTTCTGACCATTTTTTTAATATTTTGCATAAAGTTTTCAAAAGGAAACGCGCTGAATGTATCCAATGTTCCAAAATTAATTGCATCTGCGGTGATATGTAATAAATTGTGGATATTGTGAGACACATATTTTTTCCCATACAAAGTAATAAATGTGTCAACAAATTATTTCAACAAGTGCTGGGTATATTCAGTACCTATTGACGCCATATTGTTATTGCTGCACAAAATTGTCACACCAACATGTAAACACAAGAAGTTAACGTATTTATCAAACGACAATATATTTCTCAACACAACAGGTCCTGTATACAGTAAAAACTGCCTGAACTCTGTTGCTTTCCACCTTTTAAATTATGCAAGTGGACGCGGCTTTCGATTAAACTCAGCTGGAATGTTTTTCACTTGTATGTTCAATAAATTAGAAATTTCTGAAATCTGAGGATGCGATAACTTATTTTCAGGTTTTCCCACACACCAGAAAGAAATCAATTTTTTCACTACTCCCAAACAAATTAAGTGCATGTAGTCTAATGGAAAGCACTTGATCATGTCCAAATTTGGAATTTCTTCTAGAATTGATGTTCCTGTATGATGCTCTGGCTGAATTTTATGACGAAATTCAAAATCTGAGCGTATCTTTAAATTTACAGTTTCTGGAAAACAAACAGAGTCAATATATTGTCCTTCTATATGACATTTAGTACAAGAGTTGTAACCCGAGTGCCCAGTTGTAAATGAAATAAAGGACTTTGCCGGAGCATCACAAATAAATCCTTTAATTTTAAACTTCAACTTCCTTCCTTGAAATACAATTCCATTTTTGATCAAATCCTTGGCTTCTGCCACAAATTCTTTCAGGAATGAATTAGCATTATGTGGTTTATAGTTACCATAATATAACCCAGCTAAATTAACATTTTTATAACCATAAATACTAACAAGAATAGGATAAAATGTTCCACCAGAGCATTTAAATAGGGGTAACCCATCAATATTCACAAGAATTTCAATGGTATCTAATTGTTGGTCTTGTAAACAAATTTCTGAAAGGGATTGAACACATTTCTCCAATCCAAAATGAAAATATTCTCCTGGTTCTATCACCGTAGTGTTACTGCCCCTACCAGTATTTAAAAGAGACCTTGCATCAACAGGGAGCTCCGGATGTGCAGGTTTAAGAATTTTTAACAAAGCTGTTAAAGCTACCTGTGTAATATTATGATTAACAGCCCAGTTTGAAATTTGTACAGGTAATGAGATTGATTCATTTGAAGGTTTATGCTGAACGTTTAATGTAGTATCAGAAACTAATTCAATATTATCATTTATATTAATATCTTGATCAATATCATCACCAAAATTGCTGTCAGATTCTGAAGAAACTTGGTGACCAAAATCAGAGGTTGCTGAATTCGAATTAGAATTTGTGGCAATATCATCATCATACACAATGAAACCCTCAACTGTACTACTAGATGATACAGACGGGAGGGTACCTGGAAAGTTTTCTGGAAGGAAGCTGTTGCTTATTGAAGCCTCAAAAGCTTCAATTTTTTTTTTCGTTTTTTTGTAATGCTTACTAACTTTACTTTTACTTGAGCTTTTACTTAACATAGCGAAGTCGAATTATAAAATACCTATCACTTTAAATTATAATAATTACAGAAAACCCCTGCTTAAAACTACCTAGATTCACTTCACCTTAATTTCTTATTTAACACACACTTTAATTACTTCTCCAAACAGAAGGGCCTAAAATTTGCACAAAATCTACCAGAAAATCAAAAATTTTAGGTTAGGGATTCAATATTAGTCTCAGTGGTCTTACCCAAGTCGTTATTATTCTTATTACACAGATAAACACACATAAAAATCAAATTTCACGAATCACTCACTATTTGTATGCTATTTGAAATCAAAAAATATCAAAAAATTAAAAATTAGCAATGACGCGGCTCAGTTAAGCTGGCCCCCCCCCCAGTTTAATTTTTTTGCTCAAAAAGCTAGCGCAGATAGAGGATAGCTAGCGCAGGCTAGCGCACCACTTTTAAAAGCTAGCGCACCGACCCCCGCGGAAATAGCAGGGGATGCGATCGGAGGGGGCCAGATTAACGCTAGCCCCCCCAGTTAATATTTTTGTCTCAAAATGCTAGCGCAGAATGAGGACACCTAGCGCAGGTTAGCGCACAACTTTTGAGATCTAGCGCACCGACCCCCGCGGAAATAGCAGGGGATGCGATCGGGGGGGGCCAGATTAACGCTAGCCCCCCCCAGTTAATTTTTCTTGCTCAAAATGCTAGCGCAGAATAAGGACACCTAGCGCAGGCTAGCGCACCACTTTTTATAGCTAGCGCACCACTTTTTATAGCTAGCGTACAAACCCTCGCGATAATAGCAATATTTTAAATTTTTAAGA